CCAACGGACCATGGGCAGAAATGACGTGCGCCCCCTGCAGGGCTGGGGTAAGACATGCTCTGACCACAGCAAACTCAGTCTCCGGGGCTTTGCTGCTCACTCACACACATGGTTTGCTGCCGACTCAGACAGCTCTCCAGGAAATCTGTCCCCCGCATTCCAGGGTGATTCACTCTTATGATACTGCCAAATAGACAAATCATGATTCCCGGGGAGGGAAGATATGGAGAAGTGTGCATTGGTCCTTAAATCCTTCCACCTGGAAATGACACGGTCACCTTCCTTGGGTAAAGCAAATCACTGGATACCTAACTTCAAAGAGACCAGGCAATACAATCCTTCCTTGTGCCCAGAAGGAAAGGCAAGTAGAAAGTCTTGGTGCACGGCAGCCCTATCTACCACATCCCCTGCAACACGCCCTGTGTGAACCCCCACATTCAGAAGCCCTGGATGGAGCAAAGCTGCTCCCCATCAAGGACCTGCAGTAGTTTGTGGTGTGAGCCAGAAAGAGATCTTTACTTTGATGAGCCTCTGAAATTTGGGCATTATTACAGAAGCCAGCATACTCTGACCAAAACCCTATTCAACTTACGTCAAAGTTAAAGAAGATGGTAATAATAATTTTTTCATGTGTGAAATGTTTAGCACCGTGCCTGGCCCTAATAAGTTCTTAATTAGTGTTAATTGTTCTTGTTCTTCCAATTTTGTCTTAGATGTGTATGTATTTGCTCAAATGGATTCTGTGCTCCAGATTATAGGACCACAAGGCGGCTGAACATCTTGCATATCTTTTTCTCTAGAACAGCAGCAAGTTTTCATACTTCGTGGGCAGCTGAACTGGAAGTGCAGGTTTCCGAGGTCAGAGACAGCATGGTGTAGAGGAAAGAGCACTTGAACTAGGAGTTGAGATCAGTTTAGTTCAACACACATTTATTGAGCACCTTCTGTATGTACCAGGCGCTAGAGAAACAAAGGCGTGTGAGAGCAGATCCCTGCCCTCTAGGAGCTTACAGTGCTGCATGGATCGCGAACAAGTAAACAAATAAACAAAGTACGATATGTACGGGGAGTATACACAGGGAATCGGAGAGCCACAAGACCTCAATTCTAGCTCTGCCACTAGCTGTGTGACCTTGGATATGTTGCTTAACCTCTCTGAGCCTCATGATAGTGAGAATGGGGTAATTTCTAATCCCTGAAATTCTGATATCTACAGTTCTCAAAACCCCGTGAGATAGGCAGGGCAGGCATGATTTCTCCTTTACGGAGGTGAAGCCTGGGGGCACAGAGGTTTAGCAGAGCAGCCTGAGCCACACAACTGTGTGTTGGTAGAGCTGGCCGCAGACTAGACTCAGGTAGGTCTTCGGAGCCAGGCCTAGCGTGTGCCCCCTCCAGGCTGCCTTGGCAGAGAGGTGGGCTCTCTAAGGGGCATGGTGGGAGGTTTTCCAGAGGCCCCTAGTTTGAATCTCATACTTACTCCCAGTCTGGAGCTGGCTACAGACCAAGAAGAGGACAGAGGCAGTTACCTTCTGCACTCCACCCCCTCCCGGGGTAAGCTCTGGGCAGACGGTGGGCATTTCTGAAAATCAGCCCGTCTTTCATGGAGCAGCACAGTGACATTGGCATGATGTCCTGGGACTCACAGAATCTTCAGCACCACCCCAGTCCCCGCTGGAAACCCTCCCAGGGCTGGCTTCCACTCACAGCCGTCTCCTCAGCCCTGGGCTCTGTGCATGACGCAAAGGACATTTCAGAGGCTGCCGCAGCTCTCCCTCATCGCCCTGTCCTCTGAGTCACCCCCACTCGGCCTCCCAGTGTGTGCACGCTTAGGGAATGTGAGTGAGCTCGTGTTATTGAATCAAAACAAATGACAGAGTTCAGCTTTGCTGCGCCTCTAAAATCATGCCATGCCCGCCAAACCAAAAAGACAAGCCTTCTCACGATGGCCGGCCACGGCTGTCTCCCACAGTCACAAACAGTTAGATGACGCTGGGGGCAATCTTATTGTCACCTACAACAATTTTTCGAGCACATGCTATGTGCGCTACGAAGAGGCCATCAACATACATCCCTACTATCCAGGGGCTTGTAACCAGATGACAGGAGCGGTCAGATGATATGAAGAGACGAGTGACAGACGACAAGGCTACACAGACTCAGGCCACGTGAGAGGCTAGTCTGACGTGCTAGAGGCCATGGGGACAAGGAATGGTCACTGAGGGCTGCAGCTGGAAGGCGTCCCAGGGGGGCTCAAGATGGGCCTTGAAGAGAGAGAAGGACAGAAGTCATTATTTGCATTACTCACTCTCTACAGGTAATTCATATGAAAATCATATGAAGAAGAAAAAAGTGTCCAGAAAAAGAATCACCTGTGGGCACCGGATGTCCTTTCCTAGAGTGGCCCTTTCTCCATCACTGGAACCCACAGACACTCCCCACCCCCAGAGCTGACAGGCTGGGAAGGGGAGATGCCTGCCACACGAGTGGCTTCCCAAGGGCCCTTTGGGGGTGGATCTGGGTTCAAATCCTACCTGTACCACCTCCTGGCTGTGTAATGTGGAGCAAGTCCCTTAACCTCTCTGAGCTGGCTTCCTCCTCTGAGAGAACGGGCCATAATGCCGACCTTGCAGCATTGTGGAGGACTGATTAAGCAAACACTAGCTAACCCACTAGCACAGTACCAATGCTACCACCCACAAGTCCTCCTAAAAAAGTCTTCCCTGTCGTCCTCCATCTTCACAAAGGACGTCTGAAGGGGCATGTGTGCTCCATACAGCCTTCTATAGGCGCCCTGCCCGCTCCAGGGGTTACACCGAGGACCGGACTGGGGTTTGGGTTCAAATCCGCCCACAGAGCTGCAGCCCAGTCTCCAGCCTAAAAGAGCACACTCTCAACCCCAGAGGAGTCTCTTCAGAAAGGAAAAATCTTCCGAAGGGGCTGAGGAGCGGGGCTTGGGGCAAGCGTCGTCCCTCGGGCCCTCCCCGGAGGAAGACTCGAGCTCCCGGGGTCAGAAACAGCAGCGTGTTCACTCTCAATGCTGCCCCCTGGGGCCACCAGGAGCACAGCACAGGGCATGGCCGCCCAGCTAGCAGGGCCCCGGGCAACCCAGGTAGGAAGGTGGGGGGTGCTTGGCTGGTTTATAACCTTGGAAGGATTGTCTACATTTCTGAAGTTGGACGTTCCAGTGTTTTGTTTTGTTTCTGTCTGGTGCTTCCTTCCTTTGTGGGACCCAAATAGGAAAACGCCTAAGACACTGGTGACCCTGAGTCGGGGTTCCTTTAGCTTTACTAAAGTGATCTAGAATTGTTGTGTGTTCCCAGGACAAACCCAAGGTTAGGCGAGCCTATTTGCCAATGTGCCTTGAAAGCTTCAGGCAGCAGGCTTTGGACAACCGAATAGGAAATAAGATCCGAATGGCGTGGGTTCACCATTCCCTGTCCTGTCACACCTCCCAGTTTCCTTCCCAGCCCACCTCATTGCTGGTTTCTCTCCACCTGAACCCACAGGGCAGGACAGAAGCGCAGCTCTGAGCCCTAGGCCCGCTCTAATATCCTCACGGCCTTGGGACCCTTCATCACCTCTGGCAGCATTACCTGCCTCGGGCATTTCTGCAAGAATTAACTGAGGTACCACATGTAAAACAACGAGCTAAGGCTTTTGAGCCTCACCATCTCTGAGGGGAAGACACGGTGGGAACCACCGAGCTGTGCCTGACTGCAAACAGGTGTGAGGGACCCTCACTGCCCGTCCCCCCCCACCCCGCCCCAAGTAGCAGCAGCAGCAGCAGCAGCTGACCACTGCCTCAATCTCAGTCCCTCAGCACACTTCCCCACAGGTGCTGGAAGGCGGTGGGCTTCCTGCCACCCCCCCCCAGGCCCACCATCCAAGCACACTGAATTCCCTTCACTTCTTTATTGTGCACCCAGGTTCCCCACTGGCTTCCCAATAAAGACAAAATATGAAACCATAAAATATCGACATTTTACTAAATATCTGGAAAGCACGCAGAAAGGTCAACAAAACCAATTTGACAGTTTAGTCTGAAAACCGACAGTAAAAGGACTGAGCAGAGCAGAGCAGGACCTGGTTTCCCTCTGAGCTATTTTCTGAAAATGGGCCAGGACCCATATTCACACCCACTTCTCTCAGGCAGGCTGCCTGCCTCTCACCCAGCCAGGGACACCGAGAGCAGGCTGGGAGGATCCAGGCCCCACTGCAGCTGCTCTGGGGCTCCAAGTGTGTGTGTGTCGGGGGGGGTGGCACTCGGAGCCTCTGAAGGCCCAAGGGAACTGCCAGTCCCCTACTTCTTCCCCAGCCCAACCAACGGGGTGAGGAAGGGGCCATAGGACCTGCACAAACTCTTATGGGACCCAACATGAACATCATCTCTTCTCCATGGCTAATCTTCCTGCTCACTTCACCTCATCCTCCCCTAAGGCAGAATAAACCATCCCTCGACTGTGTTCCAGAATGTTCTGGTGTTTTCCAAGCTGTTTCCTCTGCTCCCTGTGTGCTCCCTGGGGGATAAAGCTGTTGATTCCCATGCCTGGCGTGGTGTCTGGCACGTGGTGGGTGTAAATAAACGTTTGTCATATTGAGTTGAATAGTAATGAAGGAGCCAGATGCAGCACATCCCTCAGACATCTAAGAATAACTCATCGGAGGAGCACAATTAAATGGTGCCCTCAGGCCACAGAATGTATTTTTGTCCTCCATTCCTACACACTGCCTCCTGCCACACTAGTGCATCTTGGTGGTGCCCCTCCACAGACACCCCCCCAAGGACCTGCCCCTCTGCCCCTTCCCTGAGCCATGACCTTGGAACAAATGGCAGCAGACTTCTCTGGACACCAGTTATCTCTTTATTCCATCAGTGACCAACACAACAGCACCATGGACACAGCAGGGGCCCGTCTGAAAACCCCAGGCAAGGCAAAGAGGACGGATGCGGGGGTCCAGGTGAGGGGGAGCATCCCTCTGTGCCTCCCCGGCAACCAGGAGAGAGACAACTGGGGAGGGAGGCCTGTCTGTGCCGTCAGTAGCACAATCTGTGTCAGCTCCCATCCTTCCTCAAAGCACCAGGGCTGCATGAGGAAGGAATGTTGCAGGGCATGGCCAGGGAGGGACTTGTTGGAGTGACAAAGGGTGGACTCTGAACTTGAGAGGGCAGTGTGTGCATGCATTTGCATGCGTGTGTGTGTGAGTGTGCGCGCGCACGCATTTGGAGGACAGGCGCCTACACTACTGAGCATGTGGGATTTGACTGCTGAGCCACAGGACCTGCCTGGGGCCAAGGAGACCAGGAACCAGCGCTCCAGGGCCTAGGAGAGGGGTTGAGGGAGGAGGCCAACCCCCTCACTGCTTCGCCTTGGAGAGGAGCCTGGGGCAGGCGGGTCTCGAAGCCGGGCTGGAGGGCCGCCTCCAGCCTGACCCACCTCAGGTATAGGCCATCTTGCTGCACACCCAGGGCCGGGTCATCAGACACTCCGTCGACACCAGCCTGGTGGGCTCCACGAAGACGCACTCCCCCGGGCCCGAGATGGGGAATCTGGCCAGGAGAGAAGAGACCAGGAGCTCACGACCTGCATACACAGCCCACCACTGGGTGGCGTGGAGGCCCTGAGACCTGCCCCTCCCTCTGGAGCTGCCTTCCAGGACGTTGAGCCCCGACAGACCTTCTAGCACCGCGTCTCACTGTCTCCCTCCTCCGTGCACCACGGCTCCAGCCACCCTGGGGATGCCCACGGACACTTCCTAGACACACCCTGCACTTCCACATCCTTCCAGGGTCAGCTCATTCGTCCCAGGAGCCCGGTACCCAGGTCAGGACCACCTTCTGCCCTCCCTCCCTCCCTGCAGCACCCTGCCTACATCGTGGGGCACTGCTAGTCACAGCCTCCTGGGGGCCTGTGTCTGTCTGTCCCCACAGTCCCTGAGGTGGTCAGCTCCTGAACAGCGGACTCCGCGCCTCTCTCATCTTGGCTCCGCTACAGCACACAGTGTCTGGCCCAGGAGGAGCTCAGCAGAGATAGCGGAATTCAATGACCTCACAGGTTAGGGGTGACCCGAATAACCCCAGTGTTTATCACCTGAGCTGTGCTGCCAAGGAATCATTCCTGGAACTGTGCATGGGGGGCATGGGCAGGGTTTCTCCCTGCCTAAAATCATCTTTCCAGTCTCAAGATTTCTTCTGAACTGCATTTGGTCACCCTGATCTGAGCCTCCTGCCAAGGCCGGAGCTGGGGTCTCACAGAGAAGGCGAGGCTGAGAGGGGATGCGAGGGCAGGACCACCTCGGCGTCAGGGAAACGTGGCCCCAAGGCCCTAGCTGGTTGGCACTCTGGGGACCCCAGCCTCTAGGGCTCTCCAGAAGGGGGAAAAGGGGGCAGAAAGTGCAAGACTTCTTCAGCAGCTGTAAGAACAGATCTGGGATGGGGGCAGGAAAAGGAAAGAGAAAAAAAGGAAGAGGCACTGAAGACAAAGAGAGATGCAAAATGCAGAAAGGAGGCAGGGAAAAGGAAAAGGGAAGGAGCTGTCTAGGGGCCCTCGCCCTCTGGAGGCTGTGGGTGCTGAGGTGGCCAAAAGCCAGCCTTGGATGGGAGGCAGCTGATGGGTAGCCTCTGGCCACAGTGGGGGTCTTGGGTGCCCTTTCACTTCTCCTGCCTTGAGGACACTCACGCATTGTCATCATCAGGTCAACAGCTGTGCCCCACCCCGGTTCCTCAGGGCCTATTCCTCCAGCCTCGGGGTCTCCATCAGAAGCTGAGGCTCTTGTTCCCCTGTATGCACCTCCCTGCATTTCCTAAACCTAGACTGCCCCCCAACACAAACACCCTATCTCCACCCCTACTGCCACAGCCATACACCCCCACCACCCATTACCACTACCACCATCACCCCACACCACAAACCAGTCCCTGGATCGCACACCCACCACCCCATCACATGCTCATTTCTACACCACTTGGGCCACACAAATAAGACCACCACTCCACACACCAACATCCTCAAGAGGTGTTGTCTCTAAGAGAATGCTCGTGGTGCCCAGGGCTCAGATCCCCTTTCTTCCATAGTAACAATGTTTAGGTGGCACCTGGCTGTCCAGAATAGAGGCGCCATCTCCCACCCTCCCTTGCAGCCAGGTGTGTTCACGTAGCTAAGTTCTGGCCAATGCAGAGGGATGTCCAGGGCACAGACTCCCCTTCCTCTGAGCCACACTGAGCCATGCAGACAGGCTGCTACATGGATGGGGGAGTCACAACATGGAAAGAGCCTGGGCCCTGGCAGCAGGAACCTCTGATGACTACATGCAGCAGAGCCACCAGACCAGGCTGGACTTCATGGGGGAGAGAGAGAAGTGAAGCCATCATCACAAATGGGTCTCTGTCACACACCACTGAACCTAGAGGTTAGCAGCTGTAGCTAGCACAAAACCAAGTGGTTCTCCCTTGGGAGGTTGTGTCCAGGGAGCCAGGCCTCCCCTAGTCTAAGCTCAGTGGCCAGAAGATGAAGCCTCAGCTCACGTGTCCGGGTCAAACGGGTCCCCGTTGACCCAGTGGAATTCGTCCCCGACTCTGCGCAAGCCAATCCAGGGCTCCTTCCGTGTGAACTTGAACAAAAATTCCTGCACCAAGGAAGAGAGAGACCTCAGAGTCAGATGTGGTCTCTTGACTGCTAACACATCCCAAGACTAACCCCACCTCGGAAGATTGGCTCCCACAATGTACAGATGCCAAGAGGGGCACGCCTCACTGCATCCCCAGGGTGAGGAGCTGGGGTTACAGAGGGCCCTGCACTCACACTGACCTCCTCTAGGGTACCGGGCTCTGGGAGCATGCGCACTGGGCCAGGAAGCCAGGCACAGGGTTTGTCCTCCTAGCTCAGCGGCCCAACGTGCCAGCATTCCTGATTTTCTACTTGATGGATTATCTGGGACACATCTCAACGCTCCTGTTGGTTGTTCTACCTGCATACTTCTGGGCCTTTCTCTGCAGAAGGGGGCTATCATACTGTGTATCAGAGACAAACAGAAGTGATTTTTAGATTATCTGCTACTTTGTTTTTTTTTTTTTAAAGATTTTATTTTATTTATTTTCCCCCCAAAGCCCCAGTAGATAGTTGTATGTCATAGCTGCACATCCTTCTAGTTGCTATATGTGGGACTCGGCCTCAGGATGGACGGAGAAGTGGTGCCTCGGTGCGCACCCGGGATCCGAACCCGGGCCACCAGCATCAGAGCGCGCGCACTTAACCACCAAGCCACGGGGCTGGCCCTATCTGCTACTTTGGATTGTCACGCCATCGTTAACCTCAAAATCAAAAAATGACCAATTGACTCATTAATTGTGTTTCTTTCACATTTCTATTGCTAAAGCTGTTTGGGGTGTTAAATGAGAGATCGTGCCCTGATTTGGACTAGTAGATGATGCCAATGTGTTTTAACAGTCAACAAGCGCATTTACAATTTGTAATTCTTGCACTTTACAACACTGAGCTGAGCTCAGCATGCCAGCCTTGGAGTGACAAAGCTGGCCTTGACAACAGCAGGGGAAAACAAGAGCCACTCATGAACTGCTCAGACCGCGGGGCCCGCCTGCACACCCCCGGCTGTGCCGCGCCTGAGTGTGCTCTGGAAACATGTCATGGGGACACCACATCCTTGGGGCACCCCTCCCCTAAGGTTTCCCCAGCCCCACACTCACCAGCTCCTTCTGGCTCTGAATTACAGCCAGCGCGGCCTCGTGGCTGTGACAGTACTGCCTGCCCGTGTTCCAGTCTCTCGGTTCCTCAGAAAAGAAGTAGCATTTCCTTCCGTAGAGCAGCCAGTCCTCCGGGCAGGGCGCCTCGCACTTGATACAGCCCTTGGAAGCTGCAGGGAAGAGAGAGGGGCCTCGGCATCCACCAGCACGCCTGGCCCCCGCCTGGCCCTGAAGAATCTACTCTGCTCCCCACAGCTCCCTCCACCTGCCTCAACTTTGGTGCCCTTCAGTGACACGACTCATGTGGCTCTCTTCTCAGGTGAGCACCTCTTACAGTGTCTGGCAGATAAAAGGTTGGTGACTAAATGAATAAGGAGGAGGAATTTGGGAGGCTGGCAGGGGCACCACCATGAGAGGAAGGGACAGCAGGTTAGCCTCTGGGTTAAGACCTCCTCTCTTTCTCCAAACTTCCCAAGGCATGGAACCCCAGAGACTCAGATTTGGAAGTGACCTGGAGGCCATGCATCCTCTCCAGCCCGGGTTGGGAACTGTTGGCAGGCTCAATGGGCCCGCTCTCGTTGGCTACGCCCTCATTAGCTAACAAGGCAGCCTGTTCCACCTCTGAACTGCTGGAAAGTTCTTTTTCAATTTTGAGTCCCAACCTGCCTTCCTGCACCCTAGACCTACTGGTCTAGGATCTGCCTCTGGAGTGACCCAGAGCAAACCCAGTTCACCTTCTATGGACTACTGAAAGAAGGACACCAGCCTCCCCTCATCCAGGCTTAAACAGACACAGTCTCTTCCATGATCCCTGGCAGCAGATGCTCTCCAGACCCTTCTCCATCCTGCCTGGCTCACTGCAGTGTGCCCACATTACTGCCAAAACACCACCACCAGAACAGACTGGAACACGTCCGATGCTGCCCCACCACCAGCAACAGGGATCACCACATTGCCTTCCAGGTGCTATGGGCTTTCCAGTCCGCAGACTGCTTCAGTGAAAAGAAACTGTGGGTACGTGCATACATGCACTTTTCTGGGAAGGAAGCCCGGAGCTTTCATCAGATTCTCAAAGGGCCTCTTGCCAAAAGGAATTAAGCCATACTCTTCAACTGTTTTCATATGATCTATTTCCGAGTCAGGTCTCTCCAGTGTTCAGACCATGTGTAAATGACTTTTTAAATCCAACTGCAGCATCTTATATTTATGTCTTCCACATTTATCTCATGCACGTTGGCTCATTTGAGATTTTAAAGATACATTTTAATCTTGATTTTTTTCATCTGTCATGTTAAGCATCCCTCTTTGGATTGTATCACCTACAAATTCCATTTGTGTTCATACAAGTGATTGATTAAAGTGTAGACCAGGACAGAGCCAAGAGCTGGCCCGTGGTACTCCAGCCACTTGGGAGCCACAGCCACAGTGACACCAATTAAGTAATCGACACCCTGGCATATCTGCTCAGGGAGCTGCAGGGCCACCTGGGAATACTGACCCCGGTGTGACTACATTTCAACTGCTTTTCCACAAGGATCTCAGAAGAGACTCTGTCCTGCTTTACTGAAATCACAATATGCTATGGTTACACTGCCCTGAGCTCCCAACTTAGCAACAAGACAAAAGAAAACCGATTTAATTTGTAGTAATTATTCTAGGTGAATCCCGGCTGGTGCCGGTGGTCACCACATTCTTTTCTAAACACCCACAAACTCGCTGCTCATCATGCCCACCCTCCAGGTGAGGATCTGGGGGGACTGCTATTGTCCGTGGACTTTTCTCCCATCTTGAGGTGCCCACCCCTGGTCTCATGGTGCTACTCAAAGAGTAAAGACAGAGCCACTGAAATCACTTTGCAAACTCTTTAGAACCCACGACATTCTTCGACTTGAATCCATTAAAAGCAGCCAAATTCCCTGGTCACATAGCCTCACCTGTCCTTAGTGGGAGTTTCCTCCTTCTTTATTCCTTCAACCCTTTCAATCCCACATGCCACTCCGTGTTTCTCAGGCCTCTCCCCCCTTGGAATGTTCTGTTCCCTCTCTCTCCTGGTCTCCAGGAAGCCTCTATTCATTCTTCAGGGTTTAGCACACAGGTGTTTCCCTCTCTGGGAAGCCCCCAGCAGTAATATCTCTATAACTGGACAGGGGAGATGATGTCACACTCACTTTTCTTTTTTTAAATCCCTAGCACTTAGTCCAGGGCCTAATATACAGCAGGGCTCAGTAAATGTTTGTTACATGAATGAATGTGATTTTTAAAGGCCCTTATCCCCACATCACCTCCTCCAAGAAGCATTGCCTGCCTAACCCACCCCCAGTCTGTTCTGAGTTCTCGAAGCATTTACGTAATAATACCTACGTAGCATCTCCACCTTCCCCGCATGGCTTAGTCAAGGGGACGTGTATAGTCAATGTGTGAATATATTATTTTAAGCTAAATCTCTTCTAGAATTAACACTCTATTTTCTATTTACTTTGTCCCCTACAGAACTTGTGGTATGTCTGGAACTTTTCTTTCCTAATTAGACGTGCTCTTGACAAGGTGTGTATAAACTGAATTGCATAAGTGCTCTGACATCCATGCTCACCCAAGATGCTCATCACCACCAGGATGGCAAACAGAAGGACGGCGATGGCCCCCAGCAGGAGACGTGTGGTGGTGTCTGCGGAGAAGAGAAAGGGGTTCAATTCCTGGCCACCCACCCCACTGCCAATCCCCACCGCCAGCCCCAAGGCCCAACAGTGAGAAAATCTGGGGGTGGCCGAGCAAGCTGTTTTAACAACCCCTCTGGGTGATCCTGATGCACAACAAAGTCTGAGGGTCATTGTCCTAGAGCACAGTTCTGATTCTGTGATTCCTCTGCTTAAAAACCCTGCCTCCAAAGGGCCGGCCCTGTGGCCTAGTGGTTAAGTTCAGCGCCCTCTGCTTTGGTGGCCCGGGTCCAGTTCCTGGGCACAGACCTACACCACTCATCAGCCACCATGCTGTGGCGGTGACCCACATACAAAATAGAGGAAGACTGGCACAGATGTTAGCTCAGGGCCAATCCTCCTCAGCAAAAAAAAAAAAAAAAAAGAACTCTCCCTCCAAGGCCATGCACCTGAACTCCTTCTGTGGCTGTCAGAGCTTTCCAACCTTGAATCTCCTGCTGCTTCTCTACCTGGTGCCCGGTTTCAGTCACACGGACTCCTTGAAATAATCCAGTCCTCCCTGACAGCCCTGTGCCTGGGTTGGATTGATAACATGGTGTTACTCTTATAACAATGTAAACGCTACTCCCAGCGAAGCCATGCAGTGTATTATGATCTTTATTTCAACACAACTTCTTGTTTCCCTGTAGTTAATCATAGTCTTCTTTCTCCTTTGCTTAGACTTCTGTGTCCTTATCATTATTTCAACCCCAAAACTCCTCTAAGATGATGAGAAAATAATCAGGAATTCTATTTCACCTTTGTCTTAGTCAGCTCAGGTTTCTATAACAAAACATCATAGATTGTGTGGCTTAAACAAAAAACATTTATTTCTCAAAGTTCTGGAGCCTAGAAAGTCCAAGATCAAGGTGCTGGTAGATTCTGTTCTTGGTGAGGGCCCTTTTCCTGGCTTGCAGATGGCCGCCCTCTCCATGTGTCTTCACATGGCAGAGAGAGGAAGCTCTGGTGTCTCTTCATCTTCTTATAAGGGCACTAATCCCACCATGGGGGGCCCCACCCTCATGACCTCATCTAAACCTAATCATCTCCCAAAGGCCCCACCTCCTCCTACTATCACATTGAGGGTTAGGGCTTCAACACGTGAATTTGGGGGTACACAAACATTCAGTCCATAGCAACCTTCTCAATGAAGTGTCCCCCAGAACCTTCTGAGCTGCTCCAATCTGACTGTGCCTTCTAAGCCCAGCTGCTACCCTGGGATCTCCCTTCACCAGCAGCCTGAGGATCTCTCTGCCTTTCTCCTGTGCTGGCTCTCCTGCTCCTTCTAGCCCATGTCTTCCTCTGTCTTGGTTTACTCGCTTGTTTTGGTGGAGCACACCTTCCGATGGCTGCCTGAGAAAGGGTAGAGCAGGACCACTGCACTGCACAAATCTCCAAGGGGCAGAAAGTTTATTCCTCCCTCTCTAGTCTCTATTTATTCCAAATTGCTTTTTTTCTGTTCATTTATCTTGGTCTCTAGCTTCCATGGTAGAGAACTTTCCTCATTGTGTGCAGTAGTGAATGGTGCCCCCTGGAGTTGTGAACTCAGAGGCCTGAGTACTATAGGTTGGAAATAATTCTCCTTCAGAATTTTGAAGGCATTACTTAATTGTCTTCTAGCTCCAGTGCTGCTTTTGAAAAGTCTAGAGCCATTCTCATCCATGATCCTCTTAATATCAATTGTTTATTTTTTTTCCCCTCTGGAAGCTTTTAGGATCTTTTCTTTATCCTGCAGTGTTCTAAAATATCATCACGCATGCCGTGCCTTGGTCTGGGTCTGTTTCATCTACTGTGGTAGGCAGTCAATGGGCCCTTTCCATCTGGAAGCTCATGTCCCACAGTTCCAGGAAATTTTCTTTAACTGTATCACTGATGGTTTCCTCTCTTCTATTTTCTTTGTCCTCTTTCTAGAAGTCAAGTTCTTCAAATGTTGGACCTCTTGGACTGGTCCTCCAAGTTTCTTTTTTTCTCTCCTTCTCCCATATCCACTATCTCTGCCTTTTTTGCTCTATTGCCTGGAAGATTTCTTTCAGCTTTATCTTCCTACCCTTCTACTGAATTTGTCATTTCTGTGATTATTTTTAATTTCTGAGTTGTTTTGGTTTTGTTGCTGCTGTTCTCTGAATACCTCCGCTTAAAGCATCCTGTTCTTACTTTAATGATGCAATCCTTGCTCCCATCTCTCTGAGGATATTACTGACAGTTTTTGGCGGGAGGGGAGTGAGAAGAGGTGGGCGGAAAGTTTATTCCTCCCTGTGTAATCTCTGTTTCCTCCAAATTGCTTCCCCACCACCCCCGCAGGGAAGGATTCACCCTGAGCTAACATCTGTTGCCAATCTTCTTCGTTTTGTTTCTTTTTCTCCTTCTCCCCAAAGCCCCAGTGCATGGTTGTATACCCTAGTTGTAAGTCCTTCTAGTTCTTCTATGTGAACTGCTGCCACAGCATGGCAACCGACAGACAGGTGGTATGGTTCTGTGACTGGGAGATGAACCCGGACCACTGAAGCGGTGAGAGCGCTGAACTTTAACCATGAGGCCATCAGGTCTGGCTCCAAATTGCTTTTTTTCTGTTCATTTGTTTTGGTCTCTAGTTTCCATGTTGGAGACTCTGTTCTGATGTCCGAAGATCTTTGGTTATTTGTTCATAATTAAGGCAGGAGGACTAAAGAGTTCATTGGAGTCTCTGAGACATGGAGGGGCTTATTAAATGTGGGGGTCACACAGAGCGATCTGGCTGGGCTGATCCTCAAGGCTCTCTGTATGTTGACCTCCTTGGGTTTTTCCTCTTGGGGGGGTCAGAGGCCTTGGAGAAGGCTCTCTGTCTTCCCTCCTGGAGGGTGTAGGCTTGGCCTGGAGAAGAGGCTGAGAGGCCATCCTCAGCATTCGGTATGTAAATGTCACCTCAATCACTTGCTCTCAAATGTGTTGGGGTCTAGAGGTCCTCTCTCAGGAGATTTCACCTCAGGCTCCTGCCGGGGTTGGGAAGAAGCTGTACAGAATGGCAGGAGGATCTGGAGACCTTAATCCTCCCTAAAGAAATGTTCAACCAGGCCTCCTGTTTTCAGCGCCATCTTCACTCACTGCCATGATGACTGGTGCCCCCATCTCTGTGCTTTGGGGGTCCTGCGTGTAACTCGGGTTGCTCCTCCACTTTCTGAATTTTCTCAGGCCCGTGGAGTCAGTTACCACTCACTATTTGCTCCCGAGCTCCCAATTTTGTCGCTACTGTCTCCTCTCCTGTTCTTGTCATCCTTGTGGCCTTTTAAAACTCCCTTTACTGTTGTGTTAGTGGGCTTCAGAAGGGAAAGAGAAGAAACGCATGCACTCAGTCTGCCGTCTTCACCTGCAAGTCCAACTCACATTTTGGAGTCCTTCCTACGAGCAAGGCCTACCCTGGCAAGTGACCAGGAGTCCGGAGGCAGGTGGCTCCAGGTACGGTAAGAGCAGAAGCTCACGCCTGTCCTCCAGGGCTGGACTCTTTCTGTGTCTGCTCTGCTGTCCTCAGTGGCAGTTTGTCACGTAAGGCAGATCCCCCTTGAGCTGCACGATGGCTGCCTGGGGCAAGGGCGCTGTATGTATCCTTCCTCTCCCTCCTCTACAGGCCTCTCAATCCTCTTCCATAACACGGCACTGTAACCCTTGGTGCATTGAGGATAAGAGCGTACTGCCTTAAACCACTCTGCCTGGGTTCAAATCCCAGCTCTGTCGCTTTCTAGGTGACTTAATAACTTTTGCGAGGCAAAGTTCCTTAGCTTCTATTTCATCTCATTTCTTCATCTTTAAAATGAAGTAATAATAGTATCTGCCTCTTAGAATTTTATGAGAATTCAATATATAGTTTTTATAACAGTGCCTGGCACGGTAAGCTCTACTTCAATGTCAGCAATTACCATCACGATGATGATGAAAAGCCCACAGGCTCCCCTAGGGTTAGGGCTGTGCTCATCTGTCTTTGGAGTCCATGTAAGGGCTCAGTCACTGCCTTGCAGGTTATAGAGCACCCACTGGTACTAGAGCATGAGGGGAACTTATCTACACTGAATGACAATGGTCTTGGTCCATTGTGATACACACCTGCCCTCTGGGGAAAGGGGGATCTGTGCATGTGTCTCCAACATCCCCAGAACTGAGGAGCCTCTTTATTCTCTCATGGGAATAACTGCTCTGGACGCTGCACTGGGGACAGAGAAAGGACACACTAGGGAGTCCGACTCATTGTTCACTGTCTTCCCTCACAGAGGACAGCTGGACAATCCAAAACAATGTTGTATTAGTTTCCTAGGGTTGAGTAACAAAGTATCACAAACGAGGTAGCTTAAAACACCAGAAATTCATTGTCTCACAGTTCTGGAGGCCTGGAGGCCAGAAGTCCACAATCGAGGCAGCAGTAGGGGAATCCTGCCCTGCTTATCCCAGCTTCCGGTGGTTTGCTGGTGATCTTTGGCGCTCCTTGGCTTGCCGCTGCACCACCCCTATCTCTGCCTTCATCGTCACGTGGCCTTCTCCCCATGTGTCTCTGTCTTCATGTAACTGTCTTCTTACAAAGACATCAGTCATATTGGAAGGGGCCCACCCTCCTCCAGTACACTCCCATCTTAACTAATTACATCTGCAATGACCTATTTCCAAATAAGGTCACATTCTGAGGTACTAGGGGTTAGGACTTCAACATACCTCTGCAGGGGGACACAATGCAAGCCATAACAAATGCCTAACTCACAATCCTTCCTTCCATGCAGTGGCCCGTGTTAGATGGAGTTTGAGGGCGCAGTTTATGTATGTTTATAGATGTATATGATTTAGCCTAATGTTAGAAAGAACAAGTGAAAAAATCTGGCTTCCAAGCCCAGACAAATCCCCCATCCCCCTCACACCACAGCCCAAGAGAGATTCAGGACTTCCGTCTCTAAGTTGTCGGGGCCACAGCCTGGTGAGCATAATCGTGACTGTTCAAAATTACCAAATGTAGAGTTTGGTAACTTTTAAATTTTTAAGAGGCTTTGCTAAATGCATGTGTGTGGTTTTGACCAGGAAGTTGTGGCTTTAGGCCTAATCAAGAAACTTTCAACATTAAAAATTCAGAATCAGTGAGCATGGAAAAATCCATAGCCTGAGAGATACAGAATCACTCTGTCCCCCTCCAGTACCCCCAGGCCACTTTTTCCCATGCCCATCCCCAATGCCAGGAATATCCCTATCTCCAATCACCTCCAGGCTTTCCAGAACCCAGGCCGGAGCGCTGGGTCACCTTTTCCAGCCTCTTCCTGAGGCGGGGGGTGGAAGGAAAGGTGAATATCCACAGAGAGGAAGACTTGATCAGGAAAACTTCTGTTTGGCTTTCGATTTATAAAGCTGATCGTTCATCTAAGGAAAGTCTTAAAGACCTGGGCTGGAAGCCCAGCTCTGTGATTGAAGAAGTTCTCATTGCACGTAACCTGGGAAGAGGAAAAACGTCCGTGCTGGAGGTGGCAGGGTTGTCTGAGGAGCGTGGGAGGAGAGCCACAAGCCCCGGAAGCACAGTTTGGTCCTCTCCAATCAGTCTCACCAAGCCCGATGTCCTTGCTCAGCACACGAGCACTCACGTCAGAGAGCCCTGTGGCAAACCCCACAGGGGGTTTCAAGTGTCAGTAACCAACGCGTGTCCTTGGGCAAGACACTTAGCCTCTCTGAGTCTGTGTTCTCATCTATAAAAGAGATAGAACACTCGCCAAGCCCCTGCAAGGGCAGGTGGGAGGAATAAATGAGACGGTATCGGGAAAGCCCCCAGCCCCGCGTCCAGCACACAGCAGGTGCTTAATAAATGTTGAGCTCACGGGAAGAAAGGAGCACAGGCCCCCTGACTGTTCAGCTCGGTGAAGTCAAGAAGTCCCCTGTTTCTCTCAAGACAGGTGCTTGGCTAAACAGGGGCTGCAAAACCCCTTGGTCCCCACACCTGGCAGACCCCTCGTCTGATCACGGGTGGTTCCCGGCGTCCGGGGACTGGGCTCACTACGTGGACCCCAGTCTGGGGTGGGAGTAGACTCAAGGGAGGCAGACCGGCAGTTAAAGGATTTCAACCGAGTTCCCCATCAGGGCCGCAGGGCGCCGAGTCCAGGAGGCGGGGAGAGGGGTCACCTGCACGGAGCCCACACGCCAGCGCCTTTGGCTGTGTAGCCCCGAGAGGCAGAAACCAGTATCTGGCTCAGCAGAGGAGGAAAATGAGGCTCAAACCAATTCGAAAGCCTGCCAGCCCGGGGCGGCGGAAGGATCTGGCTCAGGCTTACCCGATTCCAGACTCCACGCTCTGTGCACCTCGCCAGGCTGCCTCGGGCCCGTCCCGTGATTTCTGCGAGGGCAGGGATGCTCCCAGTGCGTAGAGCTGTGCCTGGACAGTGTGGGCACTCCATAAATGTTTGTGCAAGGGAAGGAAGAGTGAGCGAACGTGGGAGGCCAGGGCAGAGACAGCGCTGGGCCCACCCAGCAGCACCCTGGAGAGCACCAGCCCTGGTCCAGGAGCTCCCCTCTTCTGACAGGAGATGGGGACGCCCAGGAACACCCGGGACACGCTCAGGGGACCGGCGGCAGAGGGGAAGCCCCTCGCAGGGACTCAGACTCCAGATCCTAAAACTCCTGTGGAAAAAGTCCATAAGCCCCCGGGGGAACCCAAGCATGAAGGGTGGGGCTGCTCCTGGGGGGCTCAAGGGCAGGAGGGCAGGGGCCAGAGAGAGCATGAGACACAGAGCCAGGCCAGGTAGGGAGCCACACCAGGACAGGTGAGACAAGGCTGGGCCGCAAGCAGGCACTAAGCTCGGAGTGGGCTAGACTCCACAGGGGCTGGAAGACCCAGTGTCCGGAGAGAGCCGCTGGATCATTTCCCTGCCTGCTGTGCACCTTCTTCTTCAGCCTAACTCGAAGGTGGTCGGCCCAGCCACGGTTGGGAGCGGGGAGGGGGGGGGGGGGGGTGCAGAACAGGAACCAGCAAGCCAGAGGCACTGAAAGAGGCCACACCATCCCTGGAGTGGCCCTAATCCTTGGGGGGTTAGAGTTAGATTAGGGCAGACCCTGCAGAAATGCTTTTGAACGAATGAATGAAGACCTACAGGTAAGAGAAGTGAGCAACTTCAAGAAATAACTTGGGCAGGAGGGAAGCAGAGGGTCACAGGCAAGTCCAACAACGCACCTGGAGACGCCCACCAAAGAGAGGGGCTTGTCCACCTTTATTCAACTCCACTCTTCTCAGCCCAGAGCTCTTCCTGAAGATCCAACATCTTTGCCTCCTTTGTCCCAAATCACCATCCAGGCATCCAACTCCCCCTCCAGAGTCTGCACAGCCCCTCCCCAGACAGTCCATACTCCCTGGCCCATCAGGCTTTGGGCCAAATGCTGACATTACCGTCCCCACCTCTCCCTCCTCAGCAAGACACCTTCCCTGGCAGGTGCTGGTTATGTCCCTCCCCTGACCTCTGCCCATCCTTCCTCACTGACCTGGCCTTGGTCTGACCCCTCTGGGCCACCACCACTTTTCCAAGGGCAAACTCACTGTCTCATTCTATGCTTAAAACCTCCCAACAGCTCCTTCCAACAAAGTCCAAACTCTTGGGTAAGGCCTGGGTGGCCATGCCCCGTCTGGGTCCCCCAGACTCATCTCTTCTCACACCTCCCCCCATCCTGGTATCCTGGAGTTCAGTTCCCCACAGGAGACAGGCTTGCTCTGGATACTTGGCCCCTGAACATGTCACTCCTTGAGCCTGGTACACCCTTCCTTCTGCTCTCCACACCTCCGAAGAGGTCACCTACTCCAGGAAGCCTTCCTTTCCTGACACTCCGTCCTTATGGATTGGGTGATCCAGACTCTGGGCTTCCCTGGTGAATGCTGCCCAGGTCCTCAGCCTTTGGACTGGGGGTGTCAGGAGTGCTGAGAAGTCCAGAGTCCTTTCTCTTGCCAACTCCAGCATCTCCCACACCACACACCACCAGTGGCCACAAAGTTTCCTAAAAGAACTCACAAACTTGAAATCTATTTTCCACTTTGGTTACTGCCCCTTTGACCAGCCAGGGGTCACTCCCTGAGCCCATCTTACTGGAAGGGGTAGGCAGGACCCATGACCCTGCATACTCTCCACCTCTCCCCTCTCCAAGTAGCCCTGTCACCACCAGGTGCCCCCCTTCTCACAGGGCACAGGCACCATCTCTGGGATCTACAGCTTTTGTCACTTTGCCCAAAGCATTTCCACTGCTACAGATTCAAGCCTCCCTGTCAACATGCCCGTCAGTGAGTGCCCGACCGTAAGCGTCCCCCGTCACTCACGAGGAAACTGGGGCTCAGAGCATGAAACTGGCTCCCAAGGACAAAGAGTGAGTGAGCTGCAGAGGCAGGGTCAAGGCTGTCTCTTAGGCCACCGGTTATACAGCCTCCTCCCCCGCCCCATGTGGGATCTGATGGCCCTGAAATCAATCCTCCGGGTTCCAGAGTCGCGCTCCCCACTGTCCCCTCCGGGAGACCGGCCAAGGTGACTCTGGCCCGCCTCCGGGTCCCGGGCTCGGGGATGGAGGGCCGCTCCCCGCTTACCCTCCAAGGCCGCCTTCCAGCTGGTGCTGCCCTCGTAGCCCGACCCCGATCGCCGCAGCAGCCCCTCGGGGCCGCGGCTCTCCGCCTCGCCGGGCGAGCGCGGCC